TATGGGTTTTTGAGGGACTTCAATAGGTATTTCGCAAATTTCGATGTCTTTGGTACAGGTGGAACATGCCTCCACGAAACCAAACTCTGTTGCAAGTATTGATTTTTCAGGAAGCAAATCCTTTTTTAAAAGGCTTAATAGCACGCGAAAACACTGAAATCGTGGCTATACTGGTATCCTCTCTGTTTCGGTAATTAATAGCTGAGCAAGGAGAGGGAGGTTAGTGGGAGAGGCGGAATGAGAAGAGAGAGCGCCCTCATCTTGATGTGCCATGAGTTTTGGAGATACGGGAGGCATCCAAACTTTTTTTTGCTCCAGCGTTTGTCTGACTCCCTGTGGAAGCAACTTTCACTCTCTCCAAGGTCACGTGACGTGCGACTGAGGTGGATACCGGCATGAAGGTGGCATGCGTTCCCGCGCTGCGATGAGGAAATTCCTTTTGCCTCTTTCTCATGCGGGTGAAGGGTTACGGTAATCTCGCGCTGAATGTTCGCATGTCAGGGTTGAAGGGTCGTTCAGAGACATCAAGCGGGATTTCGCATACTTCCATGTCTTGGGAAGAGGTGGAGTATTCCTGCAAGAAGCAAAACTCTCTTGTATATTTTCTTTCAATTAATATATTTTCATTAGGTTTTGCATTACTCGGAAACGCTGAAATCGTGGCGGTATCACGTATCTACTTTGTTTCGGTAATGAATCACTGAACAAAGAAAGGCAATCAGTGGGGGGACGTAAGGAGGGGAAGAATGAGCGCCCTCATCTTCATGCGCCCACCCCATCACCAATTCGAGGGCGGGAGGCGGTTGGAGGGTGGTGACGGAGCGGGCGGGTGGCGAAAGAGAAACATTCGGGATCGCATTCGATATGTTCGGTTCTTATCTTCTTTTCCGCTCATGAAAGTGTAATTTCATGGAAGTGTTCCTGGATCAACTGGACACCTTTTCTGCAAGTTGATAGTTTCGTTGCCTTGAACTTCATTACTCGGGTGGATATAATTTATTTTGGCAAATAAGGTAATTTGGGGGAATATGGCCATACTAAAAAAAAACCTTGTCATCACGGCACATCAATGTCGAATTTGACTTTTAAAATGTTTCTGAAATATTTATTGATATCTCCTTCACTAAGTCCCAGAAAGGCACATGCAAAAAAAACATGTAATTTTTTGGAAAACACTTTCGATCTTTTTCGAGTTGATCCCCTGAGACAAAATTACCTTTGAAGTTGGGGGAATCTGCCCACCTCTGGAAAAACTCCAGCTTTTCCAGGAACGTGTGAAATACGGAGGAATTTGTCGAATACCTTGAAATATAATAAAGAACTCTGCAGTAGAAAAAGAAAGACTAACCTCATTGAGGACAAGCAAAAGAAGTCGATATCATTACACGAATCGAAGAACCTTTCTGGAAAGCAGGAGTGCAAAATTTTTGCTTTTGAGTAACATTGCCCGTGATTGGGAGACTGTAGAGGTTATGTCTGCAAGAGGCGTGATCAACCATAGATTAAAGTGAACATGCGCAACGAGGGTTAAAGTAAGAAGTCTCATATTGCAGGCAAAAAAAATTGTGTACAGGGTGTCCCAAAAGTTCCCGCGTTTTTCGTTTTTCAAACAACAATTTTTACTAAAAATCAGAAACATATATTGGCAAACGACCACACAATCGAAAGCTCACACACTCTAGATTCATTATTCATTCGAAGTGGCCGCCTCTGGCTCTGATACATTCCCCCAGTCTCATTGCAAAATTGTCGACGATCTTGCCCAGAGTTTCGACAGTGACCTTGTAACAGGTGGCTCAGGTGCCCAACTGCTGTCGTAGCCGATTGTGGCCTTGCTCGATCGTGAGAAGCTTGTTCATCTGAAAACACAATCCGACGAAGCAAATTTCGGAAAAAAAACAGCGTTTCAGCTTTCGAACTCGCTCGAGTCTTGCTGCTTTCGTAGCTTGTGTTAGCAATTGAGATCCTTGATTTTTGTACGGCTTTCCACTTCAGATCCTCCCAGAGTATTCGTTGGGCAGAATTATTTGAGATATCGAGAGCTTTCCGAGTTATTTTGTGGACCATTGTGGATTGCGTCGTATTCGGCTTCTGATGCTTCGTCGGTTAGCAGCGGTCGTTGCGGATTCCGGACGACCACTTCTTGTCCTGTCTGCATTGATCCCAGTCAGTTGGTATTTGTTGACGGCATCTGAGACAGTTGACCCATGCAAATTGAGCAGTCCGCTGATCTTAGAAGTTCGTTTTCCATATTTTAATGAACTGACTATTGCAGGGCGACAATTATCCATGGCTTAAAATATATTTTGTGAGTTTTTAATGTCTGTATAGAAAGTTTACAGCTCAAACGAAAGAGGAGAAAAAGTCCTTCAAGTTGACGTACAATGCTCTACATTGTTTATGAGTTAAAACCAGCATGGGAAAAAAATGACGGGAACTTTTTGGGACACCCTGCAGTTTTTGCATGTATTAAAAAAATCAGAGAAAGCCCTTTCTGTTCGAGGGACATTTAATGGGAATCACATTTCTTGCAACGAACATTTCAGGAGAATGTCAAGCGATGCGAATGTCCGGGAGGAGGTGCATGAGTATATCCTCATGCACGGTCACCTCATGCACGGTCACCTCATGCACGGTCACCTCATGCACGGTCACCTCATGCACGGTCACCTCATGCACGGTCACCTCATGCACGGTCACCTCATGCACCGCATATTCCGTCCAGATGTCCAGTACGTCTATCCATACGTCCAGAGGAATTGCACTGGATGATCTTTTGCAGCCTTAGATCTCACACGGTACGAAGCTGACACGATGAATAGGCCAGGGGGATGCTTTATGAAATATTTGAAATATAACATGACTATAACATGCAATGAAGGATGTGTCAATATTACCCCAATTCAGGATGGCAATATTCCCCAATTTTGTCTTGCCAGACAAAATTGACAACACTGTCTGCTAACCGCAAGTGACGGGGTTAACACTTCTTACAAGCATCATGGAGAGACTATAAAAGAACTTTGAAGAAATTGTTTCTGTATTCATGCTGCTATTAGGAAATNCACCAATTTGTCCCATGGCCGGCAACACGTTATCTCTTACTTGGGCAAGGCAATACTAGTAGATGAAGTTTTAAATTCAGTCCAAGTTCCGAAAAATGCTCTTTCGCCCGTTTTTCCGAGCATGATACGGAATCCGCGACCTAGAAATTCCATCCATGATGCCAGGCTCCCGCATGTCCCCGACGACCCCATAACCGATATATAGCGCTATCCGCAATTATTCGTGGCGCAAGCAGCGGGCATCAACGTGGAAACTTTCTGGCAGATGATCATTTCGCCCATCGACAATGCCAGGACATCGAGCTCTGGATAGGTCGGAATAATAGGTCTACCTCGCATAAATAATATATTCCAGGGACCATTGAATTGTGTTCCCTTTCTCAGAACATTCTAATAACCGAAAAGGACTGTACTTCATATCATCATCGTTTCATATATCATTACGCTGATGACTAGCATCAACCTATCTATTTAACTTGATCTTAAAATTAATATTTCAAATACATATAGTCAATACATGTAATATATCGATATAGTTTGGGTATCTAACAGTTCCGTACTGCTTTGGAAAACATGCATTTGTTTTGCGAAACAAGAAACAATGGCGTAAGAGGTACTTGAAAATATTAATCGAGTTCACATCTGTGCGTACTTGGCAGGTATCTTCTTCTTTTCTGTGGCGTACTTCGTAAATTCCATTGAGAATATGGGAATATTGATTTTGTCCATTCGAGATTCTATCTATTCGAGATTCCGGAAGATACTCGTACGACCGTTTTTCCGAGCATGGTACGGAATCCGCGTCCTCGAAATTCCTTCCATGATGTGAGGGCTCCCGCATGTCCCCATGACCCCATAACCGATATATAGCGCTATCTGCAGTTCATCCATTACACAAGCGGCAGGTATTAACGCGGAAGCTTTCTGACGGATCATCACTTAGCCCATGGACAATGCCAGGACATCGAGTTAGGTCGGACTAATAGACGGTCGACCTCGCATAATATGCGAGGTCGACCTCATTACATATATTCTGGACCTTATTAAGAATAATCTGGAGTATACTTCTTAATAAGTAATTTACTCCAAGAGCCAGTGAACAGCACACAGTTTCCCAGGGCATTCCAATGACAGAAAAACACTATACTTCCTGTCATCATCGTTTTCCTGCAAAGTAGAGACATTATAGATACATGTATGATTGATGTATTATACTGTACAATAGATATATCGCGTATATATGTAGTGGGAGGTTAATTCCGGTTAACGGGTTAATAATAAATCGACCAAAGAGTAAGCTCGACCATCTCGGTTTTGAAGAAAATCGGCATGCAGTTAGAGAAATCGATTTGAAGAAGCCAATTTCAACCAATTCTTCTTTCATATCTCTGACAGATCTCCAGATACACGCATTTTCATGAGACACGATTTTCCCTCCCAGCGGCCATCCAGACCGGAGTTAGGAAAATTTTTCTGCAATAAGTTCTGCAATAAGCCCTCTGGTTAAGATAAAAGTTTCATGGCGGTTTCATTTTAATCGTGAGATTACCTTCTTTAAAATGACATCAACAATTATTCTCTTGAACGCATCAGGTTCATTTGATGTAATACTTTGATCAAAATTCAGGGATCAATATCGCCACCTACGACCTTGTGAATTCGTTTTTTCAATTTATTTTTATTGAAAAGGGCATGGTATGCCATTTCTGACCATATAAAATTCGAAATGGGCACTCAATGGCTTGACGAGACATGAATTTTTTTGCGCTGCAGAATGGCGAAATTTCCACTTGTTCCTATACTTTGACCCAATTCAGTGACCGACACTTGCACTTTCCACCCCTCGAATCCGGGCTATTAATGCGTCATTAAAAAGCGACTGTTACGCCCTTTCTAAGGAAACAAAATTCAAGGTTGGCCTTTAATAGCTTACTTATATATGACAATTTCTAGCGGCAGTGCCAAAATTCTAATTGATTGAACAGCTGGAACGATTTCAGGGACTAAAATCTGTACTAGACCATCCACGAATCCAGAGTTATAATACTTCTTTAAAAGGTGCACTTCATATCCTTTCAAACGACGCCAAACTCAATATTGGCCTAAAATCACTTCATGAGATATGGCCGTTTAAGGAGAACAGGTGTTCCCGAGTATTCCCCAAGGGGATCATGGTAAAGTAGGATTTTGGCAAGCCATTCGACAGGTAAAATTATTCCCGATATTCATTTATTTTATTCCCCTTCATCGTGTTCCAATACTTTAAAATTGCAAAAATATTGCAGTGGTTTTCAATCAAATTATTTCACTAACTAAATAAAGTCAACTGACAAAGCTAATTGATTTGTAGCTATCCAAAAATTAATATTTTATAATTTTGGATGCTAGCAAAATAATAAAATGCTCAAAATTAAAATCCAGCAAACATTTCACACATTCAGCTACATAAAATTGTTCACATTATTCCTAGGTGCAACTTTAAATCTACTGTTGATGCCGTCAAATGGTGATATTTCCTGAACCCATTGAGTGCCAACCTTGAAATTCGTCGTGTTAGAAAGGGCGTATCTGGCACTTTTTATTGATGTGTTAGAAGGCCGGATTCATGGGTGGAGAGTACAAATGTCGGTCAAGGAAGTCGGTCAAAGTATTGGAACAAGTGGAAATTTGGCCCTACTGGCACTCAAAAATATTCATATCTCCTCCATCCATTGAATGCCAATTTTAAATTTCACATCGTCAGAAAAGACATATAATTCCCTTTGGAATTAAAGATTGAAACAATGAATTCACAGGTGGCAAGTGTAGATATTGGTCATTGAACTTGAGAAAAACTTTATATCAAGTGGAGCCAATTCCTTCAGCTGAAAAAATAATTCCTGGCGTCATTTTAAAGACGGCGATCTCACGAATAAAATGAAACCAGAATGAAACTTACATCTTAACGTGAGGGGGAGTCATTGCAGAAACAGTTTCACAATTCAAGTCCGGATGGGTGCTGGAAGCTGAAATTTATGTCTCATTAAAATGAATGCACCTGGAGATCTATGGGAGAGATAAGAAACTGGGTGAAATTGGTCTCTTTAAATCAATTCCTCTACGGATATGGCGAATTCCTTCAAAATCTGAGATGGTCCTCGGAGCTTCCATGGCTTCAGACCAGAGGAACGATGATATCTCTAAAATTAAAGTTCGAATGACGAACACAGTCTTTCATAACAACTACATCCGAATCCGTGAATTCGGTTCCATTGTGGCACTTCCCAGAAATACTCGTGAGAAATTTCCGATTGAGAACCAGCCATGACACGTTACAATCGCATTGGATAGGATTGCCTGGAATATGGACACTACATGAATAGCAATGAAGCAGATGAACAAATTGACGAAGAAACTCAACATATTACTCAGTGATGAGAAATCGTAAAACTCACCCTCCAGATGGAGGACTCCATCTCCCTTCGAGAGGATGTCCTTCATCGGGCGGAAGCTCTCCTCAGACAAAAGATTTTGTTATTCGTCAGCTGAACCGTAGTATTAGGTCTCAGACCCGGAATCCGAGTAAAAAACGCCATGCGATGAGCTGATTGGAAACTCAAATGAGAAAGGACGTATGACACGTATTCCATGGGACAATATTAAATATAATACGAATATAATAGATGGCGTTATATCTGGCTGATGATGGGGGTGAGGGGGGGGCATCTACTCCTCCCCTTGTGTTTTGTAATGATTTTTTAATAGCCCCATTAGTTTCCTGTTATAGCCTGAAAGTCTGCTTTTAGAGCATTCATAAGGCATACTTTTCATGGCTCCCGTGAAAAAATAGTCAGCCAGTAAAAAGTATTTAAAAAGTGGAGTCGTCGACCATTGGCAGCACCGAAAGCAAACACGGAATTAATTGATTGACGAATTCGTGAAGATTGAAAGTTCCTCGCTATCCGCTGTTGCGGTAAATCTCATCGATTTCGATTAGAACTGCTTATTAAACAAGAGAACTTCTACGTATCTGTTTTACGCCTCTTCAACTTTCGGTGAAGAGGCGCAAAACAGATTCGGATTCCAGCGTTTCCGAGCAATGCAAAAAATATATTTTTCTCAAAAAAATTATGCAAGAGAGTTTCGTTTTTCGTTTAAGAATACTCCACTATACCGAAGACATGGAAATATGCGAAATCCCGCTTGATGTCTCTGAACGACCCTTCAGCCCTGACATACGAACGTTCAGCGAGAGATTAACCGTAGCCCTTCACCCGCATTCCCACACAAAGGAAAGAGGCAAACGGAATTTCCTCATCGCGGCGCGCGGGTGCATGCCACCTTCATGCCGGCATCCACCTCAGTCGCACGACACGTGACCTTGGCGAGAGTGAAAGTTGCTTCCACGGGGAGCCGGACAAATGCAGGAACCGTACGCAAAAAAAAATAGTTTACCTGCCTCCCGTATCTCCAAAGCTCATGTTGACATCAAGATGAGACCGCTCTCTCTTCTCCTCACTCCGCCTCTCCCACTCCCTCCTTCTCCTTCCAGAGCGATTTATCACCGAAACAGATACGAAATACAGCCACAATTTCAACGTTCCCAAATGTTGCAAAGACTTTTAAAAATAATTGCTCCCTGAAAAATCAATATTTGCAACAGAGTTTGTTTTCGTAAAGGAATACTCCACCTCTACCGAAGACATCGAAGTTTGCGAAGTACCTCTTGAAGTCTCTGAACGACCCTTCAACCCTGACATGCGACCTTCGAGAGCAAGATTACCGTTACCCTTTACTCGCACTCCCACGCAAGAAAGAGGAATTTCCTCATCTCAGCGCACGATTCGTGTCCCGTTCATGCTAGGACACACTTATGTTTTAGGTCGCGTGTCTTCACGCGTGAGGTTACCTTGGAGATCTTCAGATCATATTTACATGAGTTTAGATGCCCAAATATTGCACTGTAATATAACATGAGCAAAGGTTCCATAATATTTTTCATTCGGAAAATGGAGTTGAAGGTGGAATACATTTTCGACAAAAATGTTTCACGGTTTCATGAGGTGAAAATTTTCTGGGTTGCCTCAAAGAATGAAACGTAATATACTTAGGAAGATGAAAGCGACATCCTCCAAAGATGTCACCCTCAGTTAAGTGGCAGCATAATTAAAGGGAAATCATAACTAATAAAGGACGTTCTTTATTAGACTCAGTGTTACGACTGCACTTCCCCCCTCCGGGTCGGACCGATGAGACTCCCCGCTCTCACCCCACAACTCAGTCGTTACGAAGAGGAAACCGTTCACAGACGGTCCCATCTGTAGGAGCGTCGTCCCGATGTTCCACGAATCAAGGACAAGAGGTGGCGTCAGTTTGCATATTTACGACATCAGTACTCACGTTTCCATATTTCACTTTGTTTGAGGAGTTTTTGTGTCTAAGCAGCCAGTACGTAGTCCGAGGGGTCCGACTTCGCGATTTCATCCTGATTGGAAAAAATCAGTTTTCCTCGGGATTCCAAGGAAAAGGTTCCTCTTGAATCAATTGGCCTTTTCCCTCTCGGGCCGATTTAC